AGTTGCAGGAATCGACAAGACCTTACGTGCAACTTGGCTCAAAACCGGATACTGAATGTCCAAAAGCCGATATTGAAACTAGACAATTTCTTCAATCGTACTATCAAAATTTAGTATAATTTTCGTATGTCCGTCCGAATTTGTACTAGCGTACAGTACTACTTTACTGAATACCTATAAAGGATAGACTTACGTACGTACAGTACAGTTATTCATTTTTGTAAATTAGAGGGCTTTTTCAAAATTTTATGCGTTGCAAACCTCGAAATCTTTTTTCTACATTAATAAAAGGGTTCATTTAAAGAATTGTGTAACATTTAATCGATTAATCAATCCAGCAAAACGAACCGAAAAACTTTATCGCTATCTACTTTAACGTTAACTAACATGATTAAAATCCATTGATTTGCTACAAGACCTGATTAAGTTTTCCGAAAGCAAGTGATGTCAAAGAACAGAACTTCTTTAACCATTTATAAATTTAGTACATCGCGATATGGACTTGTTATTCAAATATGGCATAATCTAACACCATATCCCCCAATTTTTCATACCCCCACAGAATTTATATTCTTTTACAACTTTGATCAAAGATATCCCGGCAACCACTTAATCAAATTTCATGAATTTACAGATCTATTGAAATCAAAATAAAATAAATAAAATAAAAATCATCAAATTTGATTAGGCGGTTGCTGAGATATCTTCGTTCAAAATCAAAAAAATTTAAGGATACGAAAAATTTGAGCGAAGATATCTCGGTAACCATCTAACCAATTCAATGAACTCTATTTTGATTCTACAGATTTGAAGAATCAAAATAAAGAAAAAGTTCATCGAATTTGGATAAATAGTTGTCGAGATATCTTTACTCAAAGTTTTGAAAAAATTCAAGATAACAGCCGCGACAAATTTTTTTAAAACTTTGAGTACTAACCAAATTCAATGGGGGTTTTTTTTTTGTGATTTTTTTTTTTTTTTTTACTTTGTCTCTGCAGATATAAAAAAGTTTATCGAATTTGGTTAGATGGTTGTCGAGATATCCTTATTCAAAGTTTTGAAAAAATTTTTTTCCAAACTCCTATCAAAATAACAGCTGCGTAAAATTTTTTTAAAACTTTGAGCAAAGGCATCTCAGTGACTGCCTAACCAAATTCGACGAACTTTTTCTGATTTTTTATATCTGTAGAATCAAAATAAAAAAAAAAAAACGAGAGTTCACTGAATTTGGTTAGATGATCACTGAGATAACTTCATATATATTGTTTTGATAGGCGTTTGAGTAAAGATATCTCACCAACCCTAACCAAATTTGATAGGGTTTTTTTTTTATTTATTTAATATAAGCAGCCAATAAATTTCAAGGATCTAACGATTTCCGCGATTTCCGTGTAACTCAACACGTTCCTAAAAAAGTCAAACCATAGCAATTTATTTGTTTCCTTGTTTTATCGTTATCGTTGTATAATTGACGTTACATGATTACTTATGGCTTGGAGAAATGATATTCGTGTAGTTGTTTCAATAGGTAATGAACCTGAATATTTATAATTCGAACGCGAAGGAAAGCTTTTAATATGTTATTTTTCTTTTTTTTAAAAAAAACAAACATATATCGGATTAAGACTTTGGAACAACATATTCGGTGTGTTTAATAACATTTATTGTCGCGTCTGATGCCGAGATTTTGGATTTCTATTTAACTACTAAACCTGCTAAAATCCATATATCCTCTTATTAATAATTTAAACCCTAATCCTAATCTAACTAACAAAATACACCAAAAACTTTTAAAATTTTTATTTAGCCCTTTCACAGATTCACCGCTTCTCTCACTACTCCAGTTTTGGTAATGTTGTATCACACTCTCAAGCATGTACCCAAAATAATTCAATTCTCAACATCAGTCGCGGCATTACTATTACACGTTTATTTCTCGTGTTTGTTTCGCGAAATCGATCTTTAAGTTTACAATTGCCTATGATTTTATGTTAAATAATAGGGATTCGCCTATGCAAATAAACAAAATCCGGAATTGATAATTAATGATACATGGCCTGATGTTATAGGAACGATAAAAACAAACACAGTAATTCAATATGATACTGAATTTAAAAAAGTAAAATCGTGGGGGTTACCTGCATTGGCATCACGCCCCAGAAAACGCCAAATAAATTTAGATTGTAGACCTGTTGAACGTTTCAAGTTACATTTAGGGGACTTACCGGATTCAGAGAAGCCTAAATTACCCGACAAATTAGACTATAAAAAGGCTATTGCTGACTATCTAAAGGAACTTGGTTGGTGATCATTCTTTTTTTTTTTAAATATTTGAATATGCTTAAATTATTGATAAATTATTACTCCTTAAATTACGCCACTACTTTAAATAGGAAAGGTAATGGGTGTGTTAAACTTGATATTATTCGACAATACAATAAATACTAATTTTAATTTACAGTTAATAAAAGATACAATCAATACTCGGTGGCCAAATATTGATTTTTTTGAAAATGTTTTAATAATTTTTACTATTCCTGCTGAATATACTGAACAATCTAAAGGGATATTGAGAAAGTGTATTCATGATGCAGGACTAAGTAAATTAAATTATAATTTACTTGAATTTCATCATTTTTGTATATTATTAACTGTTCTGATCTATTAAAGTTGGCAATCCGACTTCGGAAAAACTGCAATTCTCTCCTGAACGTATGTAAAAAAAATCTTGTCTCTTTCAATCAACTCTTTCAATCGATATTTACTTAATTGTAATGTCAAATCAACTTTAGCCGAAGCAGCTGCCATACATTGCTTAAGTGTATTGGACGAGCATTTCCTTACAGATGATGGCACTTCTTTTCTAATCGTCGATTGTGGTGGTGGTACTGTAGATCTTACAACAAGAAAATTGTTGCCAAACAAACGATTAGGCGAGGTTACTGAACGTACAGGTGATTACTGTGGTAGCACATTCGTCGATGATGAATTTATCAAATTTATGAAACTTAAAGTCGGCGATTCTGCAATGAATTCTTTGGAGACACATCGATATGGCCAATTCCAATACATGGTACAAGAGTTTTGTCGACGCGTCAAATTACCATTTACTGGTAATAAGGAAGATTTCAAAATTTTCGACCTTGATATAGAAGAATTATGCCCAATGTTGAAGCAATACGTAACTGGTGCTGAAAGAGAAAGATTAGAAAAAGATGAATGGATAATTGAACTAAAATTTGAAGATGTTGAGGCGATGTTTGGTCCTGTTATTCAAAAAATTATTCGCTTAATTTCTGGACAACTTAGTACTGGAGGTGTGTGTACAATAATGTTTTTGGTTGGTGGATTTAGTGAGTCAAAATATCTTCAATCAAGGATCAAGAAAACATTCAATTACATTAGGACTATTGCAGTGCCTAAACAACCTCAAGTAAGAATTTACGATTAAATATATATATATCTAAGTTATTATTAACGTACAGTATATTTTATAGGCTGCCATAGTTCGTGGTGCTTTAGAATATGGACTCAGAATGGGTGTAATAGCAACTCGTGTCCTAAAGTACACTTATGGCATAGAAACTGAAAATGTATTCAATGAAACCACAGATCCTGAGCATCTAAGAATTGATGGTCGTTATATCTTTAAATTCTATCGATTAGTAGAAAAAGGTCGAGAAGTTGGTGTTGATGAAACGTTTGGTGCTATATTTCGACCATTAGAACATACGACTCACTTACGATTTTCTTTGTATACTTCAACCAATTTAAATGAAGTTTATTGCGACGGTTTGGAAAAGTTGGGTGAACTCATTGTCGATATGCCGGACACTCACTTAGGAAAAGAAAGACCGGTAGAGTTTAAATTAATATTTGGGCAAATGGAAATTACTGCCACCGCTAGAAATCAGTTAACTGGTCAGGAATATAAAGCTAATTTTAGATTAGAGTTCTAAAGCTTTGTTTTCACAAATTTATCAGTTACATAACAATAAAATTCATTGAAATTTCTGAAATGTTATATTCATATTTTGGTTTAATTATACGAATACAAGAATAAGGGTGTAAATCAATTCTAAAATTTCTATCAATTTGGCTGATTAAATTTTAATTTTTTTCGTATAGTTAAGTGCTATAAGTTATTTTGTTATGCGTATGAATAATAATCTATATTTTATTTAAGAATTATTACCTAGCATTGCCCATAAAAAACATATAGCTGATACCGCTTGTAATATAATATATATATATACTTGTATTCTTAATGTATAATAATGATAAATTGAGTGACTACTAATCGAAATTAAGAATCACATGACACATATAAAATACTATATAACGATCGATAAACGTGACGTCAACTCGATTTTTTTATGGGATGTTAAATTGATTTAAGCTAGAGGAGGACTAATCTGCTATATTTATTTTAATTAATAATTATTATACTGTATATAAATATTATTATTAATGTAGTAAATAGTATTATCTTATTATATTATTTTATATATTATTATTACATGTAGTAACTAATACATTACTAATACTTAATACAATTAAATTTTAAAAAATGACAATTTACTACCATACTTTACGGTTACCACGCATTACGATATCTAAGTATCTGTATAAACATTGAAATCCAAAATTATATATTAATAATAAATTTATGTCTTTAAAATAAATGCCAATATAGAATAAATAAAATGTTTTAATTATAAAATGTAATAACGCTTACTGGCAGGGACTTCAACAGAATTGATAGGTTTACTTGCTAATATAGCATAATTAGTTTGAATGAACAAATAATAATGTATAATTATTAAAATAAATACCTTTAATTGCATCTGATATTTTTTGTGTGTTGATAATTTTACTAGTGTATGTAAAGTCAAGATGTTTTGATAAAACAATTGGCAATTCTTTTGCTATTTCATCTGCATCTAAGAATTGCCTTTTAATTATATTTGCATCATTCGGACTTTCCATGCATCCATACCAATCTCCAAGTCTTGTATAAACTTTATGAGCAGTAGGCCGTTTTTCTGGATCAGCGTCCATACATTGTTTAGCCAATTCAATATAGCACTTCGGAGTTCCAGGTGCAAATTCAGGTCGCAATCCGTAACAAATCTTTACTGCAAGTTCATCATCAAATTGATAACTATCAAATGGCCTTTGTCCAGTTGACATCTCTGACATGATGACACCAAAGCTGTAAATATCTGCAGCTCCCGTAAACTTTTGACCTGATAAAACCTCTGGAGCGACGTAAGGCATGACACCATAAATACGACCCTCTGAGTCGTTTTCGTTATGCTTCTTAGACAGTCCTAGATCTGAGATATAAGATTGCATATTTTCATTAATGCCTTTATCTTGCAAAATATTGCCACCGTGAAAGTCTGCATGAATATATCCTGCTGAATGAATGTTAATTAAATCCAATGAAATATCTTTAAGTAATTTTAATTTAGTTTTCCAGGTAAGACCATGAAAATTTTTTCTTAAAAATTTGTGAAGATTTCCATTATCAGCGTATTGAAATACCATAAAGTATTCATTTGTTTCTGTATTTTGAGTCAAACCATATACTTTAAGCTTACTGCCCTTAAGTGTACATTTCATATGATTGTCAAACTTAATAAATTTATATAATTAGTTCAATATACATTTAATAAACCGCATAATAAATATTTAACTTACTTCTTTTAAAAAATTATGAGGATCAGACAAGGTCTTGAGTGCAACCATGCTATATGGTTTACGGGACCTTGTACAGTTACCTCTATCGCTATTAATTTTTCGTATACCATCCAACCAGGTTGCAGAAAACACAGAGCCAAATCCACCTTTACCTATTTCTTTTAGATTAATTAATTTATCAAATGGAATCCACTCGATCATATGTTCATAATAATAAGTTCTAAGTTGGAATTCTTTCATGCATTTATCAATATCCTTATTGTCACTCGTCCACTCTTGAATTGTTATATCAGGATCACATGTCTGACACCACGCTTTACTAGTATTATATTTATTACAATGTGCGCATTTTCCAAAAGAAGAATCACTATAGTTTTCAATTGCATTATATTAGTTATTTATGCCATTTCTAAATTTAAATGTGGTTTTAAGCTTACCGACTAATTAATGCAAATAAAATGAAATTAAATAGATCAATGCAAATAAAATTGAAATTAAATAGTAAATATTCATAAACTTGAATAGCTAATTTGAAATATTTAAATTAATAAATTTTCTTAACACGCACTCACTAGATTAACACGAATAAAATAAAAAATTAAAAAGTAAATATTCACGAATTTGAATAGCTTATTTAAATACTTGATTATAAATGTTTTTTATACTCACTAACTGCAATATGATAAATGAAATTAAATAATAAATATTTATAAGCTTGAATAGTTTATTTTAAATGTTTAAATATTAATCAATGTCTTTATACTCACGGACTGAAACGAAATTTAATAGTAAATATTTATGAACTTGAATAGCTTAGATTATTAAATGTTTTCTATACTTACTAACTGCAATATGTTAAATAAAATTCAATAATAAATATTTATGAACCTAAATAGCTTATTTTAAATATTTAGAATAATAGATATTCTTTATACTCACCGGCTAAAATGAAATTAAATAGTAATTATTTATGAACTTGAGTAGTTTATTTTAAATATTTAGATTAATAAAGAATCTTTATACTCACATACTAATGTGAAATTAAATGTAGATATTTATAAACTTTTAATAGCTTATTTTAAGTACTTGGATTATAAATGTTTTTTATACTTACCGACTGCAGATGTTAAATGAAAGTTAATAGTAAATATTCATGAACTTAGCTTATTTTAAATACTTACATTAATATTAAATATTCTTTATACTCACCGACTAAAATGAAAATAAATAGTAAATATTTATAAGCTTGAATAACTTATTCTTATTTTAAATACTTAAATTAATAAATATTAATATTCTATTTACTAACCGACTAAAAGAAAATAAATAATAAACATTTATAACTTGAATAGCTTATTTTAAATACTTAATAAATATTTTTTACTCACGGACTATAATTTAATGCAAATAAAATGAAATGAAATCGTAAATATTTATAAACCTGAATAGCTTATTTTAAATACTTAGATTCATAAATGTTTTTTATACTCACTCACTAAATTAACATAAGCAATATGAAATTAACAGCAAATATTCATGAACTTGAATATCTTATTTCGAGTGTTTGCGTTAATAAATGTTCTTTATACTTACTAACTGCAGTATGTAAAGTAAATTAGATAGTAAATATTCACAAATTAACTAGCACATTTTAAATTCTTGATAATGTTTTTTTTATACTCACTCACTGCAGTATGTTAGCAAATAAATTAAATAATAAATATTCATTAACTTGAATACATAGCTTATTTAAAATATCTATAAATAATCTTTATACTCACTAACTGCAGCATGTTAAATGAGATTAGATATTCATGCATTTGAATAGCTTATTTTAAATACTTAGATTAATAAATTTTCTTTATACTTACGAACTAAATTAATGCGAATAAAATAAAGTTAAATAGTAAATATTTATTAGCTTATTTTAAATACTTAGATTAACAAATGCGCTTTATACTTACTGACTGAAATGAAATTAAATAGTAAATATTCATGAACTTGAATAGCCTTTTTTTAAATACTTAATTAGTAAATATTCTTAATACGCACTAACTACGATATGTTAAATAAAATTAAATAATGAGTTTTCATAACTTAAATAGCTTATTCTAACACTTAGATTAGTAAATGCTCACTTACTAAATTAATGTAAATAAAATGAAATTGAATATTAAATATTCATGAATTTTTTAAATGCTTAGATTAATAAATGTTTTTATACTTACGAACTAGATTAAAATGAATCATATTATTTTCACATATTTAAACATAAACTATTACAAATAAAATTATTTTTATATTTAATATAATTAACTATTATAACTTACTCCCTAAAAAAATTAAATCGTTTTAAGAATTTCTAATTTTAAAATGTAAAATTCAAATATATTAACAAATAACTTACTTATCAAACCACTCATGGAATTCTTCGCTCTGTTTCACACCAATTCCGTATTTGTAGCAAATGGCAGTTTTAAAAACCCCCATAGAATTACCTTTCTTAGCTGACTTTAAATAATACTCAAATGCTTTACACTTATCGATTTCAACTCCAATTCCTAAATAATAACAATAACCAACTTGATACATTCCGCTAGGATTATTCATTTCTGCAGACTTTTGATAATGAATGAATGCTTTATTCTTATTCTTTTCCACACCAATTCCATATTCATAACAATAACCAAGCCAGAATATCCTATCCGGATCATTCGTATTAGTGAAATCCAGTTGATTAAAAGTATCGGTGACTTGAATAGTTTCATCTGTTGAGTTAATATCTTTTGTATTTGACATTTAGATATAAGAAATTATATGTTACGTAAAAAAATAGTTTTATCGAAATGCTGAATGTAATATTTTTAGCAAATAATTTATTTTATTGTTTCGTGTAGTACACTCATACAAATAGATCAACACTTTGCGTATCAATTCTTTGTGTGCCAATACTATTATCAAGATGGTATAGAAAATGAACATGAAGAATTCATTTCTTATCAAAAATCTGCTGATATGGTAATTCTGATAGAATATTGGCAGTTGATAAGTAACTGTTATCGAAATGGAATCAAGGTTAAAAAAGATGAACATAAGGCATTCGTTCATTATCAAAAATCGGCTGATATGGGTACGCACGTAATTCTGATTTAAAACATGCACTTAGTAACTGTTATCGAAATGGAAATTGTAGTTGAAAAGGATAAGCATAAGGCATTTATTCATTAACAATCTGCAGATATGATTCTTATGG